TTAATGAAAATAGTGTCTTCTGTCCTTAGAGAAATGGAATTTCGTTTATAAATATGAACAATCATTTATAAAATGCAAAATTTATAAATATGGCAAAAATATAGGTGGTTTAGAATCGATCTTTAGAATCCTAAAGTTGCTAAACATGAATTCGAGAAGTCCCAAAGGTAACTCACAAGTAAAGAAAAGCTTAGATAGTTAGAGGTACTTATATTTAGTTCATTTCAAGGCTACATATCTGAACTTATACTAGTAATTGACAATGAAGGTTAGGGTAATATAGGGAAGAAAAAATGTTGGTGTAATTATCTAGCTTAGTTGAGCGGTACACTATGCTTTAGCATCCGTACTTTATTAAAAGAATTTCACTTTCCGTTTTATTTCCGTTTGTCATCAATCCTGCAGCGGTTCATCTCCGTCTCATGCAGTTCATCTTCTTCTTCCACCAGTGCACCGAGCCTTGCCACCAGGTAGTGATTTTTCCGTTTCTCCCCTTCATAGTGACCGTAGCTCATGTAATTTCTTGTTAATGTGCCATATCAGTATGTCATTGAATACATTGTAATGATTTCATCAGTTATTGGTGGACAGAAACATATACTCCACGTCTTTTTGCCTCCAACAATTAGAAATACGTTTTGTGTAATTTTAGAAAACCTTCCGACCTTCCTCACAGTTTACTATTTTGTATATTTTGAAAGCGCACACATATTGTAAAATTCAAAATCTTCTAATTAAGAACACTCGGCATATTTCTGTGTTAGTACTACGTATGATTTTTCATCAGCATGAACAGTATCAATTTGTGGTGTTGATATTTTAAGAACTACGTACTCCTACTAATTAAGAACATTTGACGCATTTCCATTTTCTTATATGGTTTTTGATCGGTATGACAATCATACTCACTGTTCTAAAAATCGCTCTCTGCGCCCGACTAGTCCTCGCCTAGGCGCTAAGTGGTGGTCGGGCGCCCCGATTTTAGTCGAGGCGCTCCGACTAATTGGTTTGACGCCTAGGTGAATCAGACAGCCGTCTAGGGCGCCTAGTTGACCGCCTAGAGCGCTTAATCGGCCTCCTAAGATGCCTAGATTAATCGAACATTTTTTTCTTTTTTGTTTTGGTTTACTGGGAAATATATGTACCTTTAACTTTAAGAACACATTTGGAGAAAGCTACTAGTTGTAGGTATAACATAATAATAAATGTGATAAATCTATCATTCATGCATGTTAATGTTTATGTGATAACATAATATTTGGTACACACTCAAGCACAACATTACTAATCATATTTATGCAAAAAAATTGATAAAACCCTAATTTATATGTCTCCGACTAGTCCCCGCCTAGCCGCCTAGGCACTAGGCGCTAAGCTAGTTTACAATGATTTATTGATATTATTGCTTCTTTCATAGTTTGAGATAATAATGAATTAATGATTTTTAAAAATAACAAATGACATGTGTTGGCGGCAAAGACGTCACTCCTACAGATTTTTGTTGTTGATGAGCCTGGCGATGCAATAGCAGAGTTGCCCAATAACCTGCTCTCGAGTCAAATTGCAACAAGAAAATGCAATAGAACAGTAGCCACCACCTAAATGTAATACAACCCAGGTAAAGTTTAATCAAACCATGTAAGAATTGACCCTATAACCTCTGTCAGCCTCCTGGAACTTTAATATGAAGATCATTAACCATGTATCTCTTCCTTTAACTGTAATAGAAACACAGTGAGCAAAAAATATGATAGAACCAACCCTCTCTTATTGACCCGAGTCTGATTTGGATACATATGCAGGGCATTAATGATATAGTAAATCTCAATACTATGTTAACATATGCAAGGCATTATTTGGATATATAATAAAATCAACAAGTAAATCCAACAAGTTCTAACTACTAATATTCAAATAAAATTTAGGGGAATCATGCTATTTCTTTGCTATATTTTTAAAATTGATAAAAATGAAAGAGTAAATGCAAAATATGTGATCATACACTTTCACGTTTGAATCAATTTTTTTCTTTTTCTAAACATTGTGTCAACATAACATAAACTAATGTGAATAATTGGAATAGGTTACCCGTAAGGGTTCCCTATATGTCTATTTATACTAAAGAGTAATAATGTAAATTACAGAAGTATCCCTAGTCTATTACACCCCCTCAATCTGTGCGGGAGATACAACGCGCAGGTTGTCTTTCAAAAAATGAAAACGTTGACTGGGAAGACTTTTAGTAAAAATATCTGCTAATTGTAAATGTGTAGGAACATATTTAACGACAAGATCACCGTGAGCCACACGTTCACGAACAAAGTGGTAGTCAATCTTAATGTGCTTGCTCCGAGCATGTTGAACAGGATTGGCAGTCAAGTAGGAAGCAGAGATATTGTCACATAACAGTTGTACAGGTACTGTGATCGGAAATCCAAGCTCAAATAAGACGGAACGAACGTGAAGTGTGTCTTGGACAGTATATGCAATGGCACGATACTCAGCTTCGGTAGAGGATTTAGAGACCGTAGGCTGCTTCTTGGATTTCCAGGAGATGAGATTAGGGCCCAGAAACACCGCAAAGCCAGTGGTAGAGCGAGAACTATCTGGACAACCAGCCCAATCAGCGTCTGAGTATGCAAAAACACATGTGGGCTTGTCTGAAGCCTGAAGCCAAAGTCCATGATCTTTGGTACCCTGCAAATACCTGAAAATTCTCTTGACAGCAAATAAATGTGTAGTACGAGGAGCATGCATGAACTGGGAGACTAAGTGTACTGCATAAGTAATATCTGGTCGGGTCAAAGTTAAATACTGTAACGCACCTACCATGCTGCGATACTCAGTGGAGTCTGACAAGAGCTCCCCATCAGTAAGGGATAAAGTAGTACGAGACGCAAGAGGAGTGCGAACAGATTTTACCGTGTGCAAGTGAAAACGGGTCAACAGATCAGATATATATTTTTGCTGAGACAGAAAAAGACCTTTCACAGTGCGAGTGGCCTCAATACCCAAGAAGTAATGTAAGTTGCCCAGATCTTTCATGGCAAAATGATGAGAAACAAGAGTAATAAAATTATTAATTACAGAAGAAGAATTGCCAGTAATAATAATATCATCTACATATAATAATAAGTAAATGACAGAATTATTATGACGATAAATAAAAAGAGAGTTATCAGATTTACTGCACGAAAAATGATGAAGAAGGAGAAAACTACTGAAACGATGAAACCATGCCCGCGGAGCTTGTTTTAGACCATAAATGGCCTTGCGTAAACGACAAACATGATCTGGAAATTGTGGATGAACAAACCCGCGGGGCTGACGCATATACACTTCCTCTGTAAGATAACCATGCAAGAACGCATTTTTAACATCAAGTTGTTTCACCACCCAACCAAAAGAAATAGCAAGGGTCAGCACAATGCGAACAGTAGTGGGTTTAATAACAGGGCTAAATGTTTCAGAGAAATCTATACCTGCCTGCTGATTAAAACCCTGAGCGACTAAACGAGCCTTATGGCGCTCAACTGATCCATCCGAATGATATTTAGTTTTATAAATCCACTTAGAACCAACTAAATTCTTAGAGTTGTTAAAGGGCACCAGGTCCCACGTGTGATTAGCGATGAGTGCATTAAATTCTTCGGCCATTGCCTCCCTCCATTTTAACTGTTTATTTGCCTCAGAAAAACATGTGGGGTCCGGTGAGATAACAATTGTATTTAAATTAAAAATCTGTTTTGGTTTAAAAATTCCAGACTTGCCTCGGGTTTGCATGGGATGAACGTTACCTGTAGTAGTGGGCTGATCAGAAGACACGGACACAACTTGGGAACTAGGCACGGCTGGAAGTACTGGGATGGACGGAACCTCAGGGGAGGAGACTGACCGAGGCTGATCGCAATGATCGGTAGAGTCAGACGAGCTGGACGAGAGGGACGGAGTAGCTCGCCCTGAAGGTGGAAGTACCGGACTGGCAGGGGTACTGGAACAGTCCGACGACTGTAGCAGGTGGTTGGATACCGGACTTAGAGAGGAGGACGGAGAGGGAGGTGAGGACCGGACTGACTGGGTGGATGGCGATGACTGACACGGCTGGGAGGTTACGGGAATAGAGGCATGTAATCTGAGAATATTTTGGCTGAGGGACATAGTAGGGGAAAAACTAGGAGAGGATACAGAAGGTGTGGTAAGTCGTTTAAACGGGTAAATATCCTCGTGAAAACGGACATGACGACTGATATAAACCCGACCACTAATAGGATCAAGACACCTATAACCTTTATAACCTGACGCATACCCAATAAAAATACATTGGACAGACCTGGGAGATAGTTTATTTGTGGATGATGCGGCAAAGTTGGGATAGCATGCAGTGCCAAACACACGAAGCAAAGAAAAATCCGGTGTTTTGTGAAAAAGTTTTTGATATGGAGAAAAGCCTTGCAAAATAGGTCCTGACTCAAAATCATAAAGTTTCCAACCTTTTTGTCCAGAAGGATACCCAATAAAAACACACTTCCGACTGCGAGCCGCAAATTTATCACTACGAGAGGAAATGTTGTGGGCAAAACTTAAACACCCAAACACTTTCAAGTGCTCAAAATCCGGGACACGACCAGTAAGAATCTCATATGGAGTTTTTCCCCCTAAGAGCCCAGAAGGAGTGCGATTAATTAAATAAACCGCTGCTAATACACATTCCCCCCACAAAAATATGGGAATCGAAGCCTGAAACATTAAAGCACGCGCCACATTTAAAATGTGACGGTGTTTGCGTTCAACTCTTCCATTCTGTTGAGGTGTATATACACAGGAGGTCTGAAAAATAATTCCATGACTGTCAAAATAAGGCAACATACGTTTAAATTCAGTCCCGTTATCACTGCGCACAATTTTCACAGAATGGTCAAATTGTTTTTCAACCATAGTGAGAAAGGACACAAAATAATGAACCACTTCTGTCTTATCACGCAACAAATATACCCATACAGCGCGCGAAAAATCATCCACCAATGTCAAAAAATAGATAGCATCACACGTAGAAGGGGTTTTGTAAGGACCCCACAAATCACAATGTATGAGTTCCAAAATGCAACTAGCTTTATTATCACTAACAGGAAAAGAATCACGAACATGTTTGGCCTGCGGACACACCTCGCAGGTTTTATTCAAAGTTTTCTTAGAAGTGCTAGTAATAATATGAGGTAACAATTTTAGGACACGATCTGAAGGATGCCCCAATCTACGATGCCATAACTCAAAATCTGACAGAACTGACTTGTGAACTGTATGAACTGCAGGCACTCCTCGAAAAATGTAAAGCCCATCTCGCCTCTCACCGGCTCCAATCAGGGTCCTCGAGCATCGGTCCTGAATAGCACAAAATAAATTGGTGAAAATAACTTTGCAAGACAACTGATCAATTAACTGAGATACAGAAATAAGATGACAGTTAAGTCCAGGCACATAAAGCACGTGATCAAGTGCTAGAGTATGAGAAAGTTGTGCTCGTCCTTCCATGACCGCAGCTACTACACGACCATCAGGCAGCCCAACAGGACATGCCCGAATGGAGTTACAGTTTGTAAGGCATTTCGAATCATCGGTTACATGGCGAGACGCCCCGGTATCAATTATCCATGATAAAGTAGAACATATACCTGACATGCGATCACTTGAGCTAGGCTCGGTATTAATTAGTTTCAAGAGAGCCTGAACCTGTTCGGTGCTCAAGTCATTAAGACTGTTTACCACGGCTTTGGAAGATGTCTCACTGCCATTGGTAGACGCAAGGCTCGGGGAGATGGCGTGAGTACGTACCCCCCCCTCCACGGTTACCAGTACCCTCGCGAGATGTATTGGCTGCCACACCCTTAGCTTTATTTCTCTCCTCCCACCAATCCGGGTAACCATGCAACTTGAAACAATTGCCTATTTCATGACCCTTTTGTTTACAGTGAGTGCAAAGCAATTTCATCCGCTCAGCTCGATCAAGACGACCCTTCACGACTGCAAAGGCTTGGACATCAGCTACGGGTGCGGACTGCTTCATTCGAGCTACTGCACGAGAATTCTCCTCCTGGAGAAACGCGTGATGGGCCTGATCGAGACTAGGAAGTGGTGTATGCGAAAGTAAATTGGAACGAACAGTCCCGTACAAATCATCATCTATTCCGACCAAAAACTGATGAAGTTTCTCTTCTTCCCGGTCCTCGGCAAATTTTCCAGCCACGTCACAGGTACACAACCCACATGTACACGAGTGCAAAGGTTTCAACCGATTCAGTTCGTCGTATAAACTGATCAAAGCCGTGTAATAATCATCTACAGACATCTTCTTCGTCTGCCTACACTCCGAGATTGATGCCCGGAGTTGCTGGAGTCGCGGCCCATTAGCAACACTGTACCGCTTCTCCAAGTAAATCCATAGTGCACGTGCCTCTTCATGGAACGGAATCGAGATCACCACGTTGGGTTCCATAGCACGCAAGAGCCAAGAGACCAACATCGAATTAACAGTCTCCCAGGTAAGTAAATCTGCCGCTGTCGTTGGTTTCTTCATAGTGCCGTCGACGAAACAAAATTTTCGTCTTGCCTTTAGGGACAACGTGATGGCACGAGACCATCCTACATAGTTGTCGCCTCGGAAAATAATGTGTGTAATAAGGTTCCCGGGCTGATCACCAGGCCCGAGATAATAAGGAGAGGTGGGATCGCTGGCCATCTTCTACAGGAGCAAACACGCTGGTGTTGCTGCCCTGTGTGTTCGCCGAAGAAGAAAGAAAAAAAATCGCAGGTTTAAAAGCTGCGCTCTGATACCATGTTGGGAAATTGACGTGAAAGAATAGGGAAAATCCCTTGTGTGAATTTCATGATGAAGCTTCGTATATATACAAAAGTATGGCCGAAGAAAACAAACCCTTGGCCCAAAAATAAATATAAGCTATGCTAAAATTACATTAAATACAATACAAGCCCAAGTATGGGATTTAACAGGGATGAATAAAAAAAATACCCCTAACTATAAGAAACATGTTGTGTGATGTGAATCATGTGATTATCATTGCACTTCGCAATGAATGAATCAATTAATAGTTAAATACCATGAAAATTATTCCTACACAAAACAAAATAATTATGATCAATATCAAAAGAAATCAGATCTCTTTTACTCCTTCGAAGCTGGAAGAAGCAAAATCCAAAACAAGAATATGAAAAATCTGTGTATTCATATTTATCTCTTTCCGATAATAACCCCAGCCAAACCAAGTGTATAAGTGGAAACAGTTTCACGTTCTCTAGAATAGCTTTCCTTGAAAATCTGAATCATTAGTATAAAATTTAATTAGCTAGTACTGCATAAATTCTAAACAAATGATTTATTTAATAGATAGTACTACGTAGAAACGAACGTATATACGATAGTATGTTCTTTAAAAGAGGAGGCTCACATTTTTACCTTTTTCATCGGAAAAGGAGCACCAGGCTGCTATAATCAGTTGCCTTGAGCTAACTGGAAAACAATTACAACTAAGAGATCAGACAACATATCTTCTTCCTCCATCTCTACTTGCACACTGGAAGGGCAGTTTATCTATTTGAACATACAAATTTGGCTCCATTTCAGAGGGGTCACCGCCCTCAAGGACCCCAAAACATCCCTAAGATTTGACCACTTGTATTTTGAAATGGGAATTTCACAGCTGAAATTGTCAAAAATAGACCAATCAAGAATCCGTTTTTGTAAGCAATGTAAATTTGGGATTAAGATCACAATAAAATGATTTTCTTTAGCCTTTTTTACCCTCCTAGAAAAACCCGTTGCATGAGGCTCACATAGACTTCTCAATAGGGCAATATGAAGTTTATTTGCTATATAACAGCAGGGTATTTATCAAATGCTAAATTTTTTGTTTTTATTTAGATATTTTTATCAATGAATATATGAAATAATTACATACTTATAATTAGAATGAAAGGTATTTACAAAGTAACTTTTATTGTAGTGTAGTGTTTATAATAATAATAATAATAATAATAATAATAATAATAATAATAATAATAATAATAATAATAATAATAATAATAATAATAATAATAATAATAATAATAATAATAATAATAATAATAATAATAATAATAATAATAATAATAATAATAATAATAATAATAATAATAATAATAATAATAATAATAATAATAATAATAATAATAATAATAATAATAATAATAATAATAATAATAATAATAATAATAATAATAATAATAATAATAATAATAATAATAATAATAATAATAATAATAATAATAATAATAATAATAATAATAATAATAATAATAATAATAATAATAATAATAATAATAATAATAATAATAATAATAATAATAATAATAATAATAATAATAATAATAATAATAATAATAATAATAATAATAATAATAATAATAATAATAATAATAATAATAATAATAATAATAATAATAATAATAATAATAATAATAATAATAATAATAATAATAATAATAATAATAATAATAATAATAATAATAATAATAATAATAATAATAATAATAATAATAATAATAATAATAATAATAATAATAATAATAATAATAATAATAATAATAATAATAATAATAATAATAATAATAATAATAATAATAATAATAATAATAATAATAATAATAATAATAATAATAATAATAATAATAATAATAATAATAATAATAATAATAATAATAATAATAATAATAATAATAATAATAATAATAATAATAATAATAATAATAATAATAATAATAATAATAATAATAATAATAATAATAATAATAATAATAATAATAATAATAATAATAATAATAATAATAATAATAATAATAATAATAATAATAATAATAATAATAACTTTAGACATGTTCAACTTTTACATGTAAAAATAACTCTTACAAATACTTTTATAAATAAATTTCACTTCAATAATAATATTTTTTGAAATAAAACAATAAATATTCCCTAGATATAGGTATTTCTAGGGGTGGGCAAAAATACCGAACTGGCATGATACCGAACCAGACCGGTATGGTACCAGACCGATAAACGGGGTTTGAAACGGATCTCAAAATTTTTTGTCCCGAACCGGTTCCAAACAATGCCATGACCGGTTCTCATAAAATGAGAACCGGTACCGGACCGAAGTATGGTTTATTAAATTTGTACTACTATAGTTTATCTAAAATATATTAATTACCTCATCCGACCCAAATTGATTTGCAAAGCCAACATTTTTTTGTCAAAGTTAATGTTAAGTTCTTGATAATTAATACAATTTTTAATAATTAAAATTTACATATTTAGAAACCACATTAAAATCTCTCTAAAGTTGCAAAATCCAAATTAAAATATACGAAGTACGGAGTAGTTTTTGTGAAAGGCTAAATTAGAATATAATTAAAAAGTGAAATTCTAATTAAGTGAATAAAAAGAAATTGTTTGACCAAAAAAGATTGACTTTGCAAATCAATTTGAAACGAAGGTAGTATGATATATGAAAATTGATAAATTGTTTGGATTTTTTGGAGGATGGCTAAACTTTAATTTTTTCTTAAACACCTGGAAAAAGTGGCATTGTTTGGTATTGATATGGCATGGTACCGTCCCGTTTGAAAACGGACCGTACCGAACGGATTTGGGTCTAAGACCGAACCGTACCGAACCGTTTCAATGGTAACGGTACGGGTACGGGTTCGGCCAAATATTGGACCGGACCGGACCGTGCCCACCCCTAGGTATTTCATTAATTCATGAGATTAAGTAAGGCATTTCAACTATAACTTAACAAATACTACTATTCTAGTATTACCAAACAAGCCTCTATGCATTAGCTATGGTCCTATGGAGGAAAACCTTTGGCTAAAGGAGAGGGAGGGCAACAACACATCAGAAACACCAAACTTACATTAAAAAGACTAAATCTTTTATAATGAGCATTCCAATTTCCAACATTGTATATGAACACATTCTCAACAAGTTTTTAACTATGAAAGCAAGCGTTTTTATGGAAAATCTAAAAGTTTTCAAGATATTATTATTCTAATTCTCTAAGTATGATACAACATTTAACCATTTTGTATCACACTCACAGATTTGAAGAACTCTTTAAGAGTCTTCAAGTTTAGGATTGTGATTCATGACTCTGGAGCACACCATTAGCTTCTCATAGTTCTCCAAGGGTGTTGTCTTGTGGAACTTCTCACTTATCATGCTTTATGGGGAAGAGTCATTAGCTAATAAACACCAGAGAGCAACCACCATAAAAAAAAAAACTCATTTACCTGTCTAAGATTCATTTAACTCATTTACCAAAGCTGTAGACACTTGTCAAGTAATGAAAGTTTAAACAAATACTCCACAAGTTATCAACTCAAAGTATTTCCGACAGTGAAAATTACTGAATGTTCGATTACCCAAATGGAGGTTCATAAAAGCGGATAATGACTCATTTTGTGAAGCTGCCACTGTCACAAATATCAAATGCTCTGCCTCGGACCCTCAGTCTATATCTGGATAAATAGAATGTGTCTACAAATGTATAAACTATAAATTGAAATGATATATGATCATGTGTTATGTTATTCTTTCACTTCTATAAAATCTCAAATATACATCAAGGTGTAAGTTTGGCCTTCCCAATAAATTAACCATGACAGAATAAAGAGGGTTGTTGACTACATATTCTTAAATAGTGGAGGAAATCAATGGACCACACTACAACAGTAGAGGAAGGGCAAATATATGAGTAATATATCGATATAATGGACACAAATACGTAGTATGAGTTTTACTATGTAGTGATTATAGTTGTACTTTTGAAGTGAACATGGTCATTTTCTTCTTTACACTAGTGAGTAGTGACGATTGTGGTGTTTACACTAGTAACACTAAGTTCAACTTTTCTTGCAAAAAAAAACAATAAGTTCAACTTCAAAATATATTATAGGGAAAGATTCATGAATATATAAATCTTGAAACAATAAAGAGGAAAACAAGTAAAATGAGGCTCAGGATAACCTTTACTCTATCAATCGAAAATAAAACAAATCTTCCATGGCATGGCTGCAAGCAAAAAACTGCCACGACAAAATACAAGCCAGACTGAAAATCTGAATTTTTCATCAATAATAATCACAGCCTCAGATGCAGGGTCCATTTGCATCCAGGTAAGACAAGGGAAAGAAAAATAGGGGAAAACAGAGAAGCCTGCAAACAAAGATTAAGATATTGGTGACAAACTGACACAGCCAAGGCTGCAAACAACAAATATACATCGTTAAAGATTCTTTTTTAAGAGCTGTTATTCCTGAACTCTTTTGCGGGGGCTCAGATTTGTGTCATCAGGAGGTAATCAGAAGACCGATCCGCCATGGCTGCAATAAGGTGGTCATTCCAGTTTTTCCCTGCCAAGATACGGATTGGATCCACAAAATACCCCAAAATTTAGTTGCATAAAACAATCATCACAGCCTCTTCGGACATATATACATACATAATTACTCCATTTGCAATGGAGCCAAAGACTCACTATTTGTTTGCTTAAGAATGTGACAAAATAAAGCAAAATGACTCATTATACTGTCTGCGCTTCTTTATTTGGAAGCGGCAATCAGTCCATGCAATTTTTGACGTGATCTTCACCATGGGTCATCCGGAAACAGTCACTCTGTTCATTAGTACAAGGGTAAGGCTGCGTACAACCGACCCCCTTACACCCACCATAAGTGGGGGTTAATGATGATGATAAATTACTGCACATATCTATTCTCTCGGAGATGAGAGGGTTGTTGGTTACTTGTTTTGGAGGAAATCATTGGCTACAGCAGAGGGAGGGCAACCACCCAAAAAAACCAAACTCACCTCTGGCGCCTCATCCTTTTCTAATGAGATGTACAACATTGTTGAAGATTCTTTTAAAAGGGCTATTCTTCATCAACTTCTTTCTGGAGGCTCAAATTTGTGTCTCCAGGAGGCCAAGAAAAGACCGATACGCCATGGCTGCAATAACTAGGACATTCCAGAAATGCCCTGCCAAGATACGGATTGGATCCACAAAATGCCCCAAAAATTAGGTGAGCATAAAATAATCATCACAGCCCCAAAAATTTGGCTAACCAAAATTTTCACTATAGTATGGGGGACTATTTGATAGTTTTCCATGATTTTTTAAGGATCATACTTTAAAGCCAGTTTCATAAGAGTGTCTTTTCTATTGCGGCTCAGATCTGTGTTTCCAGCAGGCAATGGGAAGACCAAACCGCCATGGCTGCATAACTGAGGCTTCCCAGATTGCCGCGCCAAAATACGGACTGGATTCTCAAAATGCCTTATAATTTAGTCGCATGAATCATCACTGCCTTTTCATACACACACACACACTCATACTGTGTACATATACTCTGAGAGAGTAATAATTCATGTGAGGATTATTATTAGCCAAAACAACACCAAAGACAGTTCGCAACCACCCTTTAAAACTCACTGACTGTCTAAGAGTTCATATAGAGGCCTCATCATCCAAAACATTAGACCAATCCTAAGAATAGAACTCAGAAGGGTAGTGGAACCTTAAATAAATAAATAAATAAATGATCTTCAAGTTATCAACTCATAAGATGATAGGAATTTTCAGGGAGAAAATCAAAGCAGTTTCGATTACCCAAACAAGGGTTCAGAAAAGGCAGCAGTTATCAGGCAGGCAAAATTACGATTCCGCCATGGCTGCAAACATATGGTGCTCATGAGAGTGATGACACTCATGAACCATGATTGTTGCCCCGCCAAGATACGGGTCAGATCACATGAATGCCAAGAATGAACGAGGAAGGGCTAAATATCATCATCACCCAGTTATGCAATCCCTATCCTCCAGTCATTCACCCCAGAAAAATAAGGACAAAAGGATGAATATACTGTGATCCTCATTGTTTGTGTACGTGTATCTGGATTGATCTTACATTGCTCTCCAATCCATGTCAGCCGACCCCAAACTTTAGGAAATAAGGCTTGAGTGTTGTATACTTGTATATATATAGTTAATCTCTCGTGAGAATGGTCATTCCCATTACATATTGGAATCCCATTACATATTGGAATCCCATTACAAATTAGAAAGATGTAAATATATGCACATTTCTGTTTCAGGTAATGAAGTTGCAGTCTAAAAAATCACTTTACTTACAAAAATATCACCTCATTTTCTGCATAAATAATACTACTTCCGCCCATCTAACATTGGAACAAAAGGGAGTGGTGCAAATTTTAAGAAAAGTGAATTTGTATTATTGGTATTAAATTTATAAAATGTGAATAGAGTAAGAATGAATTGTAACTACTCAAATATTACCAAATATGGAATGGAAGAAATTTAGTAGGATGGACGAAAAAGGTAAAATGGGACAAAGATAGGGGATAGAGGGAGTAAACAATTATCAAATTTAACGCACAAAAATATACGAGTAGCTTTCAACAATGGAGTTATAACTTCTTGTTGGTTGTTTTTACTTTAAAAACTACTACTACGTATTAAAAATAACAAATATGAAGCTACAGGTTTTGTCGGCTAAGTTTTTAAATAATTGGTATTGGTATAAGTGATATATGGCAATAATGGTGGTACATGTCAGATTTCATCAAGATTAGTATAATATATGTCCAATCCTCACTGCACTCTTAAGGATGTTTTTGTTGGGACTGTTTTCAGTTCCAAACCACACCAGACTTCATCAGACCTTAAACAGACAAGATCTGACTTCCATGGTTATAAAATACGCAGAGCCCAAACATTTACCGGCCAGTTCAGACGAAACTTAAACAAACCAGAACGCTAAATTTCAGTCCAAAGTAAAAACAACCTAACACATCTTACGCTAAAATGAACAAAAATAGTTGCACTTAAATTTCAAAAGGAATTTGGTAGGATAGTACTTAGATTTACTGATAAGAGAAGAAATCTAATACTTTGTATTAGAAATCTAATACTCTGTATTAGATCTACTGATAAACGAAGAAATCAAATACTCTGTATATACATAAAAATCAAAGGATATACCTAAGAGTATAACTTTTATTATTGCATACAAGAAAATATCAATTTGTTGTGGAATTTACAGAAAACTCCTATGAGAGGTTCAGATCTGTTTCTCCCGAGGGAAATAGATAGTCGAGACCGCCATAGCTGCAACAACCGGGTCCTTTTCCGGGTTGCCCCGCCAAGATACGGATCGGGTCCTCCAAATGCCTCAAAATTAGTAGCCCAGAAAGGGAGAAAAACGGAAGTCCATATGATCATCACAGTTTCTTCACAGTTCTTAACAATAATAATATACTACATAATACGTACAAGCAGCAGTTTCAGATGCAGACACTGAGCGAGTTCATGATCGATGGAAAAGGTTGTGTTGTTGTTTTCTTTTCTGTAGTTTCTTTCTTGCGAGGAAGAAAGAAGAAAGGGCGGTTGGAGAAGGGGCATGGAGGAATCATGCGCAGATGAGAAGGAGGCAACTGCCCTTTCAGTAAACTCCCGTCCCTCTCATTGCCTCACTCCTTTCTGGGCTCAGACTCGTGGGTGCAGATCCCTCATCACATTTATATTCTTGTCGACCATAAACCAAAAAAGAATGACAACAGCTGTCTTGTTGTAAAACCCAGGAAATGACAAGCGTGAATTGTTCATCCTTGTCATCATACTTGTAATCAGGACACTAAACTTCTTACCATCCTTGTAATCATAGATAGATATATGGCAAGTTTTAATGATGCCAGCAAGATATGTAGAATTACTCCTTGATGATTCATCATCAAGCCCAACTAGTATAAATAGGGTTTGATAAACTGCCCTTTCAATAAACTCCCATCCCTCTCCCTGCCTCACTCCTTTCTGGGCTCAGACTCGTGAGTTCAGATCACTCGTTCGATTTATAATCTCTTCGACCATAAACCAAAAAAGGATGACAACCCTGGAGGTTGCGGACGTACAAAACACTTTATTTGTTTAATTTTAAAAGGCTAAAGGGTCAAATAGGTCCATGTACCTTTTCGGATTGCTCAATTTGTCCCATGAACCCAAAAAAATTCCAATTAGCACCTGAACTCGATAAAAAGACTCAAATTTCACTTTTAGAAGGTCACAAGCAAGAAATTATACATAGTAACCTTTACTCATTCGATTCTTACATGTAAATAACCAAGAAATTATACATAGTAACCTTTGCCCATACTTTTATAAAATAAATATCAATTCAATCATAATATTTCTGAAATAAAACAATGAATATTCCCTAGATATAGTTATTTCATAATTCATGAGATCAAGGCATTTCAACAATAACTTGAGCAAATTCTACTATTCTAGTACTTCTTATTACCAAATAATAGCTGTGGAGGAAAATCATTGGTATAGAAGAGGGAGGGCAACAACACATCAGAAACACCAAACTTACCTTAAAAAGATTAAGAGCCTGTTTGGTAACACTAAAATTGGCTGAATTGGCTGATTCTGCTGAACTTTATCAAGTTCTGGCTGAAGTGGCTGATTCTGTTGATTCATGAAAAAATTATATTTAAAATATTTGTTCAACCTTTTAGCAGTCTTCTTACAATAGTCCCACCTTTTCGTTATTCAAGAATAATCCAACCTTTGAACCTCGTCTTCATTCACTAGTCCCTGATCGGTTGATGACCTACTATTCCAAGTTATTTTGTTATCTTTGCAAAATATTATCTTTGTGAAAGTTGAGATTTATGGTATAATGGTTTGCAAAGGTAAGAAAATAACTTGGAATAACAGGTCATGAACCGATCAGGGACTAGTGAATAAAGATGAGGTGCAAAGGTTGGATTATTCATAAATAACGAAAAGGTGGGACTATTGTAAGAAGACTGCTAAAAGGTTGGATTATTAATTTCCATTTTCCCTAAATTAAATAAAAAATTATATGAAAAAATAGCTCAAATGATCTCTACGATAACTTCAGCCAATAAAGCCAGAAAAGTAACACAACCTTACTTTTTCTGCTTATTACAAAATTCAGTGCGCGAAATCAAAAGTTACGTGGTTGGTGAAAAAGCTGGCTGATAAGCCTGATAAGCCGAAAAATGGGTCACCAAACGGGGTATAAACCTTTTATGATTAGCATTCCAACATTGTAGATGAACAAATTCTCTACAAGTTTTTTTAACTATGGAAGTAAATGTTTTTATGGTAAATCTAAAAGTTTTTAGACTTTATTATAAAAACAATACATGTTCTCAAAGAAGTATAAAGTTCGGTAGAAAGGGTAATAATGGGCTTTCTTCGATGGTAGTTACGCAGGTGCCACTTTCTTCCAGTCACTGGTTTCTCCCTTACAAAAAGAATTATCAAGGATCCTCCTGAGTAGTCTTTAGCCAGTTAAAATATGGGCCAAAACCATTCTGCATTTGGATTCAAGTTCAATTCTAATTCTCCAAGCGCGTAGTATGATACAATAGTAAACCATTCTGTATCACACCCACAGAATGGTTTATGGTGAAGAGTCATTGGCTAATAAACAGCAGAGAGAGAGCAACCACCCTCAAAAAACTCATTTACCTCTCTAAGATTCATATAAAATCTCATCAGACCAATCCCAGGTAATGGAAGTTTAGACAGTACTCCACAAGTTATCAACTCAAAGTATTTCTGATGGTGAAAATTAATGGACAACTGGAAGGGCAAATATTTGACTATAGTAGTATTAAATAATGGACAAAAATAGTAGTATGACTTTTATTATGTAGTGATAATAGTTGTACTTTTGAAGTGACCATGGTCATTTTCAACTTTACACTAGTGTGTAGTGTCGATTGTGGTATTTACACAATGAAACTAGTAACAATAAGTTTTACTTCAGTAATATTATAGGAAAAACCATGAATAAATAAATTTCGATAAAACAAATATAATGAGGCTCAGGATAACATTTACTCTATCAATCGAAAATACTATGTACAACAAATCTACCATGGCTGCAAGAAAAAAATCTGCCACGCCAAAATACAAGCCAGACTGAAAATCTGAAATTTTCATTAACAATAATCATCAAAGCCTCAGATGCAAGGTCCATTTGCATCCAAATAAGACAACGAAAAGAAAATTAGAAAGGAAAACGGAAAGCTGCAAACTAAGAATAAGATATTTGTGACAAAGTGACACAGCCAAGGTTGCGTACAGGGGTAAAGCTGCGTACATCCAACACCCCTTACCCCACTTTAGGCGGAAGCCTGTGCTGCACTAGGGTAATGATGATGACATGCATGCATATACATACATACTGCATAGACATTCTCTACGAGAATGCAGAGGGTTGTTGGTTACTTATTTTTAAAGGTGGAGGAAATCATTGGCTACAGAGGGAGGGCAACCACCCAGAAAAAATCCAAACTCACCTCTGGTGCCTCATCCTTTTCTATTGAGATGTACAACATTGTTAAAGATACTTTCATAAGGGCTGTTCTTCCTGAACTCTTTCACGGAGGCTCAGATTTGTGTCTGCGGGAGGTAATGAGAAGAGCAATCCACCATGGCTGCAATAAGCTGGCCATTCCAGAATTGCCCTGCCAAGATATGGATTGGATCCACCAAATACCTCAAAATTTAGTTGCATAAAATAATCATCACAGCCTCTTCTGACATATATACATACATACTTGCTGCACATACTTCTTTCCGAAGTTGGAGTAAATCATTGGCTACAAAAGACGGAGGGCAACCATCCAAAAAAAGAACTCACCTCTGGCGCCTCATCCATTTCTAATAAGGGGGTGTTTGAATCTACTTCTTAATGATGATGGTGATGATGACATGCATGCATATACATACATACTGCATAGACATTCTCTACGAGAATGCAGAGGGTTGTTGGTTACTTATTTTTAAAGGTGGAGGAAATCATTGGCTACAGAGGGAGGGCAACCACCCAGAAAAAATCCAAACTCACCTCTGGTGCCTCATCCTTTTCTATTGAGATGTACAACATTGTTGAAGATATTTTCATAAGGGCTGTTCTTCCTGAACTCTTTTACGGAGGCTCAGATTTGTGTCTACGGGAGGTAATGAGAAGAGCAATCCGCCATGGCTGCAATAAGCTGGCCATTCCAGAATTGCCCTGCCAAGATACGGATTGGATCCACCAAATACCCCAAAATTTAGTTGCATAAAACAATCATCACAGCCTCTTCTGACATATATACATACATACTGCACATACTTCTTTTCGAAGTTGGAGTAAATCATTGGTTACAGCAGAGCGAGGGCAACCACCCAAAAAAAGAACTCACCTCTGGCGCCTCATCCTTTTCTAATGAGGGGGTGTTTGAATCTACTTCTTAAAAAGGAAGATAAGCATATATTGAAGTGTTTGGGTGAAGTGCAGAAGTACTTCTGAGTGCTCGAAATTGCTCTTAGGGGGTGTTTGGATCTGATTCTTCAAACTGCTTCTGCTCCTTCGGGAGCAGAAGCAGAAGTTGGAGTGTTTGTGTGAAAGTGCATAAGTATTCTGGTGCTCTAATTTACTCCTAGAATCAGTTTTTTTAGAAGTTGAGGGAGACCAGCTTTTGAAACTTGATACTGATTCTGCTTCTACTTTAAAAAAGAAGCAGAAGCAGAATTGGTTCCAAATACCCCCTTAGAAACAGTTTTTTAGAAGCCGGAGAGACCGGCTTCAGAGAACTGATTCTCATTCTACTTCTACTTTTAAAAAAGAAGCAGAAGTATAATCAATTCCAAACACCCCTAAGTCAATGAGAAGACTGATGCGCCATGGTTGCAATAACCGGGCCATTCCAGAAGTGCCCTGCCAAGATACGGATTGTATCCACAAAATGCCCCAAAAATTAGTAGAGCAAAAAATAATCATCACCGCCCCAAAAATTTGGCTAACCGAAGTTTTCCCTATAGTACGGGACTACGGGGGACTATTACATAGTTTTCCCATGATTTTTTAAGGATAATACTTTAAAGCCAGTTTCATAAGAATAACTCTTCTATTGAGGCTCAGATCTGTGTTTCCAGCAGGCAATGGGAAGATCGAACCGCCATGGCTGCAAAACTGGTGCTTCCCAGATTGCCGCGCCAAGATACGGACTGGATCCTCAAAATGCCTTATAATTTAGTCGCATGAATCATCACTGCCTTTTCACACACACACACTCATACTGTGTACATATATTCTCTGAGAGAGTAATTATTCATGTGAGGATTATTATTAGCCAAAAGAACACCAAAGACAGTTAGAAACCACCCTTTAAAACTCACTTACTGTTTAAAGTTCATATAGAGGCCTCATCATCCAACACATCAGACCAATCCTAAGAATAGAACTTGGGAGGGTAGTGGAACCTTAAATAAATAAATAAATAAATAAATAAATAAATAAATAAATAAATAAATAAATAAATAAATAAATAAATAAATAAATAAATAAATAAATAAATAAATAAATAAATAAATAAATAAATAAATAAATAAATAAATAAATAAATAAATAAATAAATAAATAAATAATATATAAATAAATAAATAAATAAATAAATAAATAAATAAATAATCTTCAAGTTATCAACTCATACGATGATAAGAATTTTCAGGGAGAAAATCAAAGCAGTTTTGATTACCCAAACAAAGGTTCAGCAAAGCCATCAGTTATCAGGCAGGCAAATTTACGATTCTGCCATGGCTGCAACATCTGGTGCGCATGAGAGTGATGAGACTCATGAACCATGAGTGTTGCCCCGCCAAGATACGGGTCAGATCACATCAATGCCAAGAATGAACAAGGAAGGGCTAAATATCATCATCACCCAGTTATGCAATCCATCATCACCCAGTTATGCAATCCCTTTCCTCCAGTCCTTCACCCCAGAAAAATAAGGACAAAAGGATGAATATACTATGATCCTCATTGTTTGTGTACGTGTATATGGATTGTTCTTACATTGCTCTCCATCTTTCTCTATATATTGTTTTAAACTCCGATATCATGTGTCAATTCATGTCAACCGACCCCAAGCTCTTTAAGAAATAAGGCAAGGGTGTTGTATACTTGTGTGTGTGTCTATATATATATAGTTAATCTCTCGTGAGAATGGTCATTCCCATTATATATTGGAAAGATGTAAAAATATGCACATTTCTGTTTCTGGTAATGAAGTTTGCAGTCTAAAAAATCACTTTACTTACAAAAAATATCACCTCATTTTCTGCATAAATAATACGAAGTACTACTTCCGCCCATCTAACATTGGAACAAAAGGGAGTGGTGCAAATATTAAGAAAAGTGAATTTGTATTATTGGTATTAAATTTATAAAATGTGAATAGAGTAAGAATGAATTGTAACTACTCAAATATTACCAAAAATGAAATGGAACAAATTTAGTATGATGGACGAAAAAGGTAAAATGGGACAAAATTAGGGGGAGAGGGAGTAAACAGTTATCAAAATTAAGGCACACACCAGATTGACTCTTATTTCACTCAATAGATCACTTCAGCATTTTATTCAAAACATACATATACATAGAAAAAAGTGTGAGTTCAATATTCAGTTATCAATTGTGAACTATATGACTTCAAGCAACAAAAATATAGCTTTCAACAATGGAGTTATAACTTCTTGTAAGTTGTTTTTACTTTAAAAACTACTATTAAAAATAACAAATAGTACGTATACATGTTTTGTCGGCTAAATTTTTAAGTAATTGGTAATTTGGTATTGGTATAAGTGATGTATGGCAATGATGGTGGTAAATGTCATATTTCATAAAGATTAGTATAATATATATGTCCATCCTCACATGCACTCTAAGGATGTTTTTGGTTGGACCGTTTTCAGTTCGAAACCAAAACAGACTTAAACAAGTCAGGCCAAACTGACCCAAACATCCTAAAAACATCTTACACTAAAATGAACAAAAATAGTTGCACTTAAATTTCAAAAGGAATTTGGTAGGATAGTACTTAGATGTACTGATAAATGAAGAAATCTAATACTCCGTCTGTGCATAAAAATAAAAGGATATACCCAACAGTAGAGGGCAGTTCACATGAGAAGCCCCGTGCGGAAAAGACCATCAGAGGGTCTTCCCGGTGGAATTTTTTGATGAAATTTTTTGAGCATGTTCCTCATCAAGTCTAGTTTATCCATACCAAATTTCAGCTCAAAATTCGATCGGAAAGACAGTCAAATAAATCCTGGAAAAATATGGCTCATTCTGCGCACATATAATGTGCAGTATGTTTCCAGAATTTATTTGACTGCCTTCCCGATCGAATTTTGAGTTGAAATTTGGTATGGACAAACTAGACTTGACGAGGAACATGCTCAAAAAATTTCATCAAAAAATTCCACAGGGAAGACCCTCTAATGGGCTTGTCCGCACGGGCCTGCTCTTCAGTAAGACTTTTATAATTGCATACAAGAAAATATCAAATTTTTATGGAATTTACAAAAAACTCCTTAAAGAGGCTCAGATCTGTTTCTCCCGAGGGAAATGGATAGCCGAGACTGCCATGGCTGCAACAACCGGGTCCTTTTCCGGGTTGCCCCGCCAAGATACGGATCGGGTCTTCCAAATACCTCAAAATTAGTAGCCCAGAAAGGAAGAGAAAAACAGAAGTCCATATCATCACAGCCTTTTCAGATGCAGTTTCAGGTGCAGACAGAAGTTCTTAATAATAATAATAATAATATACTACGTACGTACCAGCAGCAGTTTCAGATGCAGACAGCAAGATCGAATAAAGAAAGCAGAGCGAGTTCATGATCGATGGAAAAGGTTGTGTTTTGTTGTTTTCTTTTCTTTTCTGTAGTTTCTTTCTTGCGAGGAAGAAAGAAGAAAGGGCGGTTTGAGAAGGGGCATGGATGAATCATGCGCAGATGAGAGGGAGGCAACTGCCCTTTCAGTAAACTCCCGTCCCTCTCATTGCCTCACTCCTTTCTGGGCTCAGACTCGTGGGTGCAGATCACTCCTCACATTTATAATCTTGTCGACCATAAACCAAAAAAGAATGACAACAGCTATCTTGTTGTAAAACGTAGGAAATGACCCGTGTGAATTGTTATCCTTGTCATCATCCTTGTAATCAGGACACTAAACTTCTTACCATCCTTGTAATCATAGATAGATAGATGGCAAGTTTTAATGATGTCAACAAGATGCATAGAATTACTCCTTGATGATTCATCACCATGCCCAACTAGTATGAATAGGGCTTGATCAATCACTTTTAAAGATACTTAGAAATTCATAAAATCTCAGTTATATTATGACGAAGTAATTTAGAGCTTATTAATAATATCTATCTCTAAAACTTGGTCTGCATCTTCTTCATTTCACAACGCGTTATCAGCACGAATCTGTTCAAAAAGCTCTTCAAGAATTCATCTATCTCCTGCAGGTATTAGCATCAATAATTATTATCTTCTTTTAGTATTGAAATCTGAAAATTATTCTCTGTTTTAAATAAATTTTCTATCATATACTAAAAGAAAATATAGATAACATCATACTTTTGAACGAATGATTTCTTCAATCAACCTTGATAAAGTTCTCGTAGCCTCCTAGAAGTAAATACTTCGTATTTTATGAAGAACAGGCTGGTCAAGGATAATAGTCCTTATGAGTTGGTCAGTTGAGGAATTAAACGAAGAAACAAAGTAATAGTAAACATTTTCATCAAACACATAATTTTTTAATCTTGCGCGTTAAATTATGAATAATAAAAATAAGTAAGATTAGAGTGTTACTGGATCAAGATCATTTTTGTTATTTTTTGTATGATTTATTCTTTATTCTATTAATAAGAGATATTTAAATAAATTTTTAATAATTCAACAGATTGATCAATTCATCTATTTCAGTCAGAATTCAATCAATTTCATTGGAATTAGAAAATCTAACAAATTTTAGTGTTATCAAATAGACTCTTAATATTTAAAAATACATAACATTAATTTAGGATATTTTATTTTGAACTGAAATTTGTTGGTCTGGTCTTTTTAAGTATGATCCGATCTAAATTGGTCTGGTCTGGTAAATATGTGGTCATTGTGTATTTTATAATTATCCAAATCTGGTCTGATCTCATATGAGATTGAAAATAGTCCAAAATAACATTTTAGAGGTTTAGAAATATTGGTTTGTAGTGAAAATGATCAACAAATTGATCATACTACTAATGTTTTTACATGAAAAAATATTTCAAATTTCGAAGTATGCCCGCGCATATGTGCATCCAGAACATATTGGGTAAACATTAACTCTCACTACGCTTAAGTATTTATTAATCCGTGTATAATAAACATATATAATGTAACTCTATTGTCTTTTTACTCATTTATACTTGCATACATTATAAAATTACGATATCTTGATGTTATTCTTATTGTTAACAAATAAACTTATATAATTTTATTAACATGTGGTCCGTGCATCGCACGGGTGAGATTCTAGTAGGGGTAAATGTGGTGTTTGCACGTTCTCACGTTAAACATTGTTTTCATTTGATCCTAAACCAATATATATTTACGCGCACACAGTGATATATGATACACACACAACATTGAAGTATTGTGTTTGTTAAAAGTTAATGCCGTCAATTTTAATAATTCTTCAATTTGAAAATTTTTTGTGAATTAAAGACAGTTAAAGTAAAAATACAATTAAACATATTATCATCATTTACGTTGTTTCAAAATTCTCAACAATTATTATACAATTAATTACATAATACCAATAAATGTGTTTGTATTTATTTACTCACTTTCTCACTCTTAAAACTCATATAACATTTATGATAAACATTTTTCATCATTACTAACTTATTATTATTCTAGTATAATATGTAGTAATTTATTAACCATGATTAGACCGTATACAATTATGTATGTCTATATGTATATGTGTTTGTTCGATCTTGCTGTCTGCATCTGAAAATATATTTGATCTTAAAATGTGGGGTGGGGACGGATATTGTACAGGGCATGTATATGTGTTATATTTGTATTTAATTTTATAAATAACCATCGATCATGAACTCGCTCTGCTTTCTTTATTCGATCTTGCTGTCTGCATCTGAAACTGCTGCTGGTACGTACGTAGTATATTATTATTATTATTATTAAGAACTTCTGTCTGCACCTGAAACTGCATCTGAAAAGGCTGTGATGATATGGACTTCTGTTTTTCTCTTCCTTTCTGGGCTACTAATTTTGAGGTATTTGGAAGACCCGTATCTTGGCGGGGCAACCCGGAAAAGGACCCGGTTGTTGAAGCCATGGCAGTCTCGGCTATCCATTTCCCTCGGGAGAAACAGATCTGAGCCTCTTTAAGGAGTTTTTTGTAAATTCCATAAAAATTTGATATTTTCTTGTATGCAATTATAAAAGTCTTACTGAAGAGCAGGCCCGTGCGGACAAGCCCATTAGAGGGTCTTCCCTGTGGAATTTTTTGATGAAATTTTTTGAGCATGTTCCTCGTCAAGTCTAGTTTGTCCATACCAAATTTCAACTCAAAATTCGATCGGGAAGGCAGTCAAATAAATTCTGGAAACATACTGCACATTATATGTGCGCAGAATGAGCCATATTTTTCCAGGATTTATTTGACTGTCTTTCCGATCGAATTTTGAGCTGAAATTTGGTATGTATAAACTAGACTTGATGAGGAACATGCTCAAAAAATTTCATCAAAAAATTCCACCGGGAAGACCCTCTGATGGTCTTTTCCGCACGGGGCTTCTCATGTGAACTGCCCTCTACTGTTCAGGTACAGCCTCATTACACCAATCAAAGGATGAATACAAGGAATTGGTACCCTCATCCCATGGCATACTTGTTCTAACAAAAAATGAAAACATTAATTTCCATACAGGCACTATTTCTCATTTCATGGCACATTGACACCTAAGGGAAAAGTAGCCCTTCTGGTAAAAGTCTTATTTGGCCAACAGCAGTAGTAGCATGACACCAATAATGGTAGAAAAGTAGAAGTTTTCATCAAAATTAGTAAAATAAACAGATTCATCCCTAAAACTGTAAAATTGTAAAACGTTTTAGACTGAATTGAACAAAAAAAGATGCTCATAATGTCATGCATCTCCAACAGGAATTGGATGGGATAATAGCAGATCTGATTATTAAGAACGAAATAAACAACAAGCAAAACAAAATGTATGCCTATGAATAAAACTCATGAATTTTACATGGAAGAAAAAATATAATTTGGATGGAATATTAAGAAAACCCCTTAAGAGGCTCAGATCTGTTTTCCAACAAAAAATTGGAAGCCGATACCGCCATGGCTGCAACAACAGGGGCCATTCCCGGGTTGCCCCGCCAAGATACGGAGCAGGTCCTCCAAATGCCTCAAAATGAGTAGCTCATAAGAAAAGGAAAAACAGAAAACTGTATCATCACCACCTCTTCAAAGTAGTTCTTAGCAATATAATATGCATAGTACTCCGTAATAACAGCAGTAGTTTCTTGCTTGCTTGTTTGTTTGCTTATTATTGTTGTTGTTGTTATTATTATTATTATTATTATTATTATTATTACTTCCGCTTTCTTCCATGCGAGGAAGAAAGATGAAAGGGATGTTTGAGATGGGGCATGGAGGAATCATAGGCAGATGAGAGGGAGGCAACTGCCCTTTCAACATACTCCCGTCCCTCTCCCCGCCTCAGTCCTTTCTGGGCTACACTTCTGCAATTCATTTCATCCGATTAATATACCGGAGTAGTTTCGTTTTGATCAATTTGGGAGTTGTGTCCACCTATAATTTATGTGAGGAAAAACTATCAAATAAGTCGTGTACTACACTAAAAGAGTTAATTGAACCCTTTGCGACACTGGGATAATGATGATGACATACATACATTCATGCATACATATTGCACATATTCTGGTGCCTCATTCTTTTCTGATGAGCTTTCACACATTGTTGATGACTCTTATTAAAAGGTAATAATTCTTCAGAACCAGTTTGGTAAGGGTAACTCTTCCGTAGAGGCTCAAATCTGTGTCTCAAGCAGGCAATGAGAAGACAGAGCCGCCATGGCTGCAAGAACTGGTCTATTCCAGATTGCCCTGCCAAGATACGGGATGGACCCTCAAAATACCCCAAAACATAGAAACATGGAATCATCACAGCCTCTTCATACATACACACACACACACCGAGTAAGTAACAAGAGTTGTTGGTCAATTTTTCTTCAGAATTGGATGAATATCATTGGCAATATCAAAGAAAGGGCAACCGCCATTTCAGAATCCAGAGTCCCAGACTTACCTTTGAAGACGGCCAATCTTTATGATTAGTAAAATATTCAGAATCTTCCCTTAAACTGTAAAACGTGTTACCCAGAATTGAAGAAAAAAAGTAGCACATACATTTCCTACAGGAACTAGATGGGATCATAAGCAGATCTATTTATTAAGGACGAAATAAAATATGGACATAATAAATCATGTACATAAGAATAAAAGTCCCGATTTATACATGCAAGAAGAAATCTTTTATGGGATGGAACTTTTGAATACTCCTTAGAGGCTCAGATCTGATTTTCCAGAGGAAATGGGAAGCCAACACCGCCATGGCTGCAACATCCGGGGCCATTCCCGGGTTGCCCCGCCAAGATACGGATCGGGTCCTCCAAATGCCTCAAAATTAGTAGCCCAGAAAGAAAGGGAAAAACAGAAAACTATATCATCACAGCCTCTTCATAGTTCTTAACGATATCCTCCGTAATAATAACAGCTTAAGATGAATATAGCAGGACGAGGTAACGAGCTTATTTATTTATTTATTTATTACTCCGTATTGTTATGATTATTATTATTATTACTTGCGCTTTCTTTCTTGCGATGAAGAAAGGCGAAAGGGATGTTTGAGAAGGGGCATGGAGGAATCATAGGCAGAGGAGAGGGAGGCAACCGCCCTTTCAACATACTCCCGTCCCTCTCCCCGCCTCAGTCCTTTCTG